ATGGGGCCTTGGAGATAGCTCAGTGGTCTAAGGGCCTGCCTAGGCAATTGCAAGGACCAGGATTCGATTCCCAGCACCAAATGCACTGGACAAGTCCCGGGCACACTGAGCTGACCACCACGACTGAATGTGGTGGTACACACCTGTAATCCCAGCTCTGGGGAGACTGAGACAGGAGGATCATTAGGAGTCCAAGCTGCACAGTGAGAACCTGTACCAAATGCAAAAGAAAGAAAGAAAGAAAGAAAGAGAAAGAAAGGAAGGAAGGAAGGAAGGAAGGAAGGAAGGAAGGAAAAGAGAAAAAAAAAAGAAAATAAGGGCCAGGGAGATAGCTCAGTAGAATAAGCACTTCCCTGGCAAGTGCAAGGGCCTGAGTTCAATCCCTGGTACTGCCAAAAAAAGAAAAAAAAAAAAAACAGGAAAAGGAAAACAGGGTGTGTATATGTGTGTACACTGTAGTTGGACGATTCCCACAGGGAAGCAGGTTTGTCAAGAGAGGGGTCTGCCAGAGTGGGTGGAGCACAGTGCCAAGATGGTAAACATAAAGTGGTGAAGTTAGACTGGTTATTATTTATTTATATACATATACTTTACCTCTATTATGGTAGAATGTGATGGAATGCAGGACTTTACTCATGCAAAGCAAAGGCTCTACCACTGAGCTACATCCCCAGTGCTTGTGTCTTAAGTATAAACCCAGATACAGACTTATAGCATGTCTGCTAGAGAAACCCTCCCACCTCTCCTGTCCATAACAGATGATCTGAAGAGATGGTTTTGTTACGTTCGTGGGTCTCTCAATGGCTAAAACACTCATGGAGATAAAAAGGTTTAGCATGTTGTGGTGGGTAAAAATTTTGAAGAAAACTGTGTCGAGAACCTGGCTGGTAGTATCGTATTCAGATGCGTTATCAGAATATCTGCCAGAACCAAAAAGCTGCAAGTGGGCAAGGAGAAGAGATTTGTGATGGTAGGGGTCTTGTTTCTTCCCAGGTTCTTCCTGAGAATTTGGCAGTAGAAGTGTGTTTTAGGATCTAAGGGACTGGAGGAGCCAAGCTTCAAGTACACTGCTTTACTAGGGTGCTTTTCTATGGAAAGGTTTTTTCACTGGAAAAAAATGTGTGTTATGATATTGGATTTAACTTATATTATTAGAGCTCTAAGTACACCCTGGTTACCATCTGAATCGTGCTCAGTGCTGAGATTTCTAAGGCATCTTTCCTCCCAGAGCAGGATGAGGCACTCGGGGGCCTCCGCTGAGGTCGGGCCACACACTGGGGCCTTGTCTGTCACTCATCTCTCTCCCCTCACATCACATTGCCTTCTGAGGTGTCCCTCCTGTGCGACGGAAAACAAGGAGCCATAGGGAACTCTTACGCCCTACAGTTCCCTAGGAGTTGATTCCTTTTTGTCTCAGGAGTCTAAACATTAGAGTCTCTTCAGTTTTTGTTAATAAATTACTGAATTGTTATTTTAATTTTGCAGTGGACACTTAGGAGCCAGTGATTCAAACCATTAAGACTAACTCTCTTCGTTCAGTATAGAGCCTGTTGTTGACAGAAAATAGAAGCAAAGCAGTATTTTCTGAATTCTCTTTTCCTTTGATCATTTGTGAATGTAATACATACCTTTCAACTGATAGTATCCCATTAAAGTCATCATGAGTTGAAGATCCTATAAGTTAGAAATTCATTGAATACACCTCGCCTCCTAAATATCCACACTCAGCATCATGCCACACTTTAGCTTGTGGGCCGTTTCTGACTGGAGCTGTTGCACTGTCTACCAGGATTACAGGATCATATCACAAATCACTAGCCTGGGAAGAAATGCAAATCCCAGATTCAAAGTATGGTTTCTGCTGAATGCATAGTGCTTTTGCATCATGGTGAAGTTGAAAAACAGCAAGTCAAACTGTGTAAGTTGGGCACTGTCTGTGTTTTTAGTTTTCACACATCTCTCTGACCTGCCCAACTTCCTATTCCAGCTTGAAGGTCCCTTTGTAGATCTTCTTTCCCTGAGGCCTCTGGCTTCTGTTTGGGTCTCAGGTAACTCCCATAAATACACTGAACTTTTCCGGCTTTGAAAAGGCCTAGCCCAGTTACAGTTGCAGCTTTCCTTAACCTTCTGTCTTCTGGCTAGGTAGTATGTAATACAGTTACTTTTTGAAAACAAACAACCTTGCATCTTATTGCAGACTATCATTTAAATAAAACCTGAAAGTTTTAAAATGAGAGACATTTAAACCTTGGTTTCACTAGGTGACTGTGGGCTTCCTTGTGAGCTTGTTTACAAACACAGAAACAAACCAGCCCAATACCTCCTTATAGGTTTGAAGTGAAGGTGAAAGAGTTCATCTAGGGATGGGGAGGAGGTTAGAGCTTTGTGGGAGGCCGGTTCTCCTTTGCTGGGCGCCATGGATTTTTCCCATTTTATTTGTTTCTGTCCTGAACATAGGTGGATAAAACTTTGAGACATAATGCCATGGGGTATGTTTTTGGATTTTGATTTAGTGCTGCCTATCTAATCTATAAAAGAAGTCTAGTTTTTCACTTGACTTAAAAATTAACATGAATAAAGAACTTACAGAGAAACCATATAGAGAATATATTGGAATGTATTGAATGACTTATTTTTTCATGTAACTATGAAGAGGATTTAATCATTTGGTAATCTTTGAAGGAATTGTTGGCTTTGGCAGAGGAGGTTCCTGTCTTGCCAGAATGTTGTGGTTGAATTGTGCACTGAAGTTTGCCCCTGTTAAATTATGAATGGGCTGCTCTGGGGCCACCAACACGGCAGTGACACCCTTGGCCACATGTTCGTCACTTGTTTTCTATTCCATGCATTGTTATCAGGAGGGTAGGGATCCCCAAGGAGCCTTGTGTGCCCTGCACCCCTGTCTGGAATAAACTTATTTGGCCTATGATGTAGCTCTTGTAAAACCAGTTAGAAATGCTACCCAAACATTATTTATAGCTGTTAAATTTGTCATTGTATGTGTATATCTGTAGCCATGCAAGGGATTGTGAGAGAGCCATAAATGCCCAATATATCCACTTTCAACTTCTCAAATTTTCTTGTTAGAGTAATTTCCTTCCCGTAACACTTGTGAAATCAGCACAGTATCCAACCCTAGCTGAGTGGCCCATTCCCAGAAGTCCTGGGGTGACACTGAATGTAGAATCTACCAATGGTGTGGCTCGTAAAAGCAGGCACTTGTTAAATCTATTTGTTTTTATTATAGACATCGATCTGCCAGTCACAATAATGCATTTATGGACATTTTTCTGCAAGCACAGCGCTGGTGGCAGTTTTTACTGACAAATTGAGTCATATGGATAGTAGTTTAGAAAATTCTTACCTTATTGACAGATTAGGCAATTCCAACACTGGATTATTTCAGAGATACCTAGATGGTTGAAGAGGGAATGAATCTCAGGGCCATATAGGATATGAATTTTTAAGTGTGGAAATTTTAATAAATAACTGGTAGTTATTCCTCATTTGTTTTTCAACTTTTAGCCATATATTACTGTCAATCAAAAGTTCTACAAGTGGGGGCCCAAATGTCACCTTCAGGTTTGGCTGTTGCTCCTTTGTAAGAGCCACTCTGAACTAAGCCTCCACAGTGCTCATGAGCCAGCCCCTTGGATGTGCTGCTCTGTTTGAGGTATTCACTGGGAAGACTAGGGCAGTGTTTTTACAAAGATAGTCTGAACCCTAATGGCATCAGAAATATGGAGCATTTACAAAGATACATTGAGGGGTCTCTTATTATGGGCCCCATATAGCATCAGAACTTGGGAATCTGTGGCTTTGCAGGATCCTCAGGAGAGTTTGGAATGTCCTAATACTTGAGCACCTCCAGGAGTCCTTAGGATTACTTGGAAAGGAGAGCTTGTTGCCAGCCCAGACAAATTCCGAGTTCTCTTTCCAGCTGGATCCACTTGTAGCCAGCATTGTTCTAAGTTGCCTGTGCATATGGATCTGTGTATGGTTTTGTAACTCCTTAGAGACATGTGAATCTCTTCAAAATATAAACCCAACATGTTATCATAGCATTATAGTTTTCGGTTTTGTGGTTATGACAAAGGATGCAGATGTTGCCAAAACTTTGGCATCAGTTTTACAAACAAACGTGAAGCATGGGTAGCCATCGTGTGTCTCCCTTCTCTTTGTCCTTTTGGCTGGCCCATGTTCCTTTTTTACCCTTCTGGGTAGATGTATTTTCATATCTCAGGTGAGCATTAACTTTTGGATACACAACTGAATATATTTTTGTGGAACTAAGTGGGATTTTTTTTTCATAGCACATGCTGGAATTGTGGGTAAGAAGAAAAATGGATGTGGCTCTGATGGTGACAGTTACTAGCTCGGTGACTGGAGGCAACTTTAACCACCCCATCACCTATTGGATGGGGATGATCAGCTTATTCTTGTATACCTGAGCAAGTAGAAGTGTGTGAAATAGTAAGTGAATATTTTTAAAATCAAAAGCACTGCATGGAGAAAATATCTCACAGAAAGATAAAACTGGAAGAGGGTGAAGAATCATTCAGAATCCTTATTTTCCTCCAGTCTAATCAGCATACTCATTTCTCTCTAGTCCAGTAAACATCTTTTTCCCTTCCTGGTTCCATCACAGTCTTTGTTTCCCTTTAGTCCAGACAGAATGTTCCTTCCATTCTCATTTCCCTCAATCAGCATCCTTGTTTTCTTTCAGTCCAGCTGGAATCCTTGCTTTGCAGATTCCCATATGCCAGGCTTTCATAGAGGTGGCAGGACAGTGGTTACCAGTGCATCCCTCCTGGCAAGATTTTATTGCTTCACACCTTGTTATCTAAGACTTTAGGTAAAGTTACTGAAATTCACAAGGGTTTCTTCCAGGTAGGTCTAGGTGACCCCCCAAAAGCCTCATGTGGTCATAGGATTTATTTTAGAAGTAGCTGAATCTAGACCGTGTGATTGATATGTAGTATAGTGGTGGGATTAAGGATGGGTGGTTGATGGGTTGGTCCCCTGACTGCATTGGCACCTCCCTAATCCCAGTAGACTGGATGCAATATAAGGGACAGAAAGAGGTTTGTCTCTCGCTCATTGCTTTTGCTCTTTTCCACCGCTGTGAACTGTTTCCCCACTGCCATGTGCCAACGGATTATAGAGTGAAACCTCTATGAACTGGGAGCTAAATAAACTTTTTCCCCTTTCTTTGGGTTTCAGGTATTTGGTCTTGTTCGTGAGAAAAGTAATGAAGTCAGTGAGGCTGGTGACATTTGTGAGATGTGAAATTATCAGATTGAGGGGTCATACTAGGCCCATCTCTGGTGAGACCTGAGTAATAATAATAGTTGGTATTTGTTATTGCTTCATCACAAAACTCTTGTTGGTGGAGTCAGAACACGAGGAAGTCAGACATGTCATTCTACCTCCAGTGCATTTAGAGCATGTGGTAGCTCTGCGCTAATTCGGCATGTTTCTAAACTTCCTTTTGACTATAAGCAGGTAGTTTGCTTTGCCATGTATACCTTCATTTTTAGGGAAGACAATGATTACTGCTGAAGTGTCTGGCTGCATTATTGTCCCAGTCAGGTGACCAAATTCAGAATGTTCAGGTGTGTGTCATGATGGTGTGTTTGTGCTTTGCATTCCTAGTGGCGCCTGCCATCTCAGACAGCCCCGTCTAGGAGGCATGACACTGCTAGTCTGTTAAATTGAAGGACTTCTGAGACGACTAGACACAGGATCTAACATAATGTAATGGCAGTACGACTAGCACAGGACCACGTTTTCTCATGTGTGACTACTCACAGTGCAGTAGCAAGGGACAACCCTTGGTTACGCTTTGTCCACAAGTCAATGATGTGAAGGAGTGTGTGTGTGTGTGTGTGTGTGTGTGTGTGTGTTTGAAAATTGGCCTTATTTTGGGTTATCTCTGTACCCTCACATAATGATTCATTTCACCCACCCTGGCACTCTTAGGAAAGGCATAGAGTGCTCATTGCTGAACACAGACCATCTTAGTAAATCTTCAGGATTGTGTGGTGACGTTACATACTTTTCGTGTCTGTGCTGAATGTGAGGGAACTGGGTTTTGGAGAGTTTGAGTAACATGGCATGAAGTACAGGGAGTAGGGGAGAATTCTTCCCCACCCAAATTTATTTCATAAACACATGTAGGCTTTATGCCATTGTGCCACACTGCCTTTGCAGTGGTGGGGCTGAGAAGACTTTAGAAGCCCTTTTAGGTGTAAGGTAGGTTATGTAAGGTAGGTTATGAACACATGTGTATAGTCAAAGTTTTCTATCGTCACCAAGACTTGGTGACTAAGTCAACGATAAGTCACCAAGCATTGTCCTTACTGTTGTGGGAGAAAGAGCATCCAAGTCTTCTGCCACTGCTTAAGACCCCCAAAAGAAGTATAGAACTATGGCAAAGCTTGCCTGCTGCATTTGTTGTTTATGCTCACCCTACATCCCATTTGAGAGTTGATGATCAATGTTATGGGTACAGGAAGGAGGGGAGCATCTGTAGTGCCACCCCTGTCCCAAGAGTTGTTCACCTGTCTTGCCACATTACTGTGGGCCAGGGATCCTCATCTGACTCCCATCAAAGCAATTCATGAGAATCCCCCAGTTCCTCAGCTGGCAGAAGACACGAGACATTCTGGGCAGAGCAGGGCAAATGCAGACTATTGGGTGCCTTTAGGGACTGCATGGGTGGCTGGAATCGAAGGTTGAAGTGGTAAGGGGGCAACTCCTGGAAATCACAGCTGCAGTGCTCTGGAGTCTTTCCTCTAGTCCTTTGCGAGCGGGGATACCAGCTTGTCAGAGTTTTCCATAGAAGGCTCCTTGGCCAGTATGTGTGCCTAATGAGGAAAAGATGGGTGGCAGCAGGCCTGACAGTGAGGGAAGACAGCGCTGTGGGTATCACTGGGGCTGGTATTGCAGGTTTACTGACTGATTGTTGAGTGTGGTTGAAAGATGACATTTAGAGTCATTTTGCTTATTGAGAAAGAAGAAAATGTTTAGTGTCTATGTCTCTCTTTTTATGTACACCTTTTTCAAGCACCTAAGAACATTCTGGCTCTGGAACAGCAATCAGCCCCTCTGCCTTGGCTGGCGTCTGGGTTGTGAGGTGGGAGATTGCCTTGTTTTAACTGTTCATTCAGGCAGAAATGTCAGCAGGGAGGAAGGAGGCTCATTAACAGGCACCCTCTACTCCCAACCTGCACTCCACAGGGGGCAACCTGTACTTTCTGCAGGTAGCAGTGAAATCTTTAAAATAAAACTGGCAAGCTTTAGGTGTACATTTACATCAGAATGCAAATTAAAAATAAAGTGTGTGCTTAGTTGCCTTGGATTATGACTGTGGCATATCTTAGCCAGATGGGTGCTTGAGCATGTCCCCGTGGGGCTTACCTGGTGGTTTCTGGGGCAGCATATCTTCTCCAAGGGCCACCAGGGTTAGGATTTCTTCTGGGCCATGGGCTAAGATTTAGTCTGTTTTCTGTTGCTGGGTGATTTATAAGGAAAGAGATTTCTTTTGGCTTGTAGTTCTGTGGACAGTTGCACAAAGATCTCAGGGAAGGAACAGCAGCTGTGGAGTCCCTGGTGATCACAGGTGGCTATGTTGGAAGGAGAGACAGAAGGACAGAGTAAGCTCTAGGCGGGAGTTCAGGCCAGTAGGTACTGCAGGTCTCGAAGCCAGAGACTGGACAAGTTCCGTGGAGATGGAACTTGAAAGTTTCAGCATCCTGAGATTGTCATCTAGTTAAAAAAATGCTACCAGGGAAAGGCAATGTATCTATTGGATGACAGGCAATCAAATGAGAAAGTGCCTCACATCCTTAGCGTAGTGTATGACAGGAGTTGTGTCTGATAGGATAGTGTCTGGTTGCTCTTATTGGTAAGGCTTTTATCACTTAAAAGGAAGTTTCTAGAATAAGGAACACCAAAAAAAATGATATATATCTAAAAGTTGCTAAAGTTAGCCAGCTATCCAAAAAAGACCCATGTATACTATTCTTTATTGTGCAGAAAAAATTGTCTCTGTCACTGCTTTGTTATTATCAGATTAAGCTGTTGAGTCACATGGATACAGAGTGTTGTGTTGGTGTGTTTGCTGATTAACATGTGCTCTGTGCCTCCTCCACTCCATCAGTTCCTGGGCCGCATGGGACTCTAAGGTCAGGTGCCTGTGGCTCAAAGTAGGGAAGCCAGGTGAGGTTGCTCCCAGGATTCTAAGTCTGACATTTGTTGGCAGAGTTGTTACTTTGAATGAATGTGCAGGCTCAAAAGTTAGGTTAATGTTCCTAAAGTTCAAGATTATCTGCTCTGTTGGCTGTGTAGTCTTCTGCCTGTTGAAAGAACAGGCTTTGGGAGACACTGCGTTCCTTCTGTGATGGGGACCAGCACTTTGTGTAGATGGGACACTTTCATTGCTAAGCAGGAGAAGTCCTGGCAAATGAGGGAAGTTTATTACTCTGATGCTGTCAGATCAGGTTATTCCTGGATGCTATAGCTAATGCTGTGCCGCTGGCTTGAGTCCCCATGGCCAGCTGGAGTCAGGATCACTCCTTTTTCTCACAAAAGCATGAACTTTAAAGCCTTACTGTTGGCTTGTTTGAAAAGATATTTATTTTTGCCATGAGAATAATGAGAACATTTCAAAGAGCCTCTGTGACTCTCTTTTAGACTGATAACTATTGCTGTCTTTGTGGTGCTTTTGGTAAAGCACCACAAAGACAGCAATAATCACAGTCCTTTTTGATCAGGAGTTTTCCTGTCTCCTGTATAGAGATGTCTTGCCGTGACTCCCTTCTTTCAGTGTAGCTTTTCTTACTAGCCATTAAAGGTTGTGACAGTGAAAGCGGGTAGATTCTTGGGAAGGTTTGAGCTCTACTTTGGTGTTGGCCAGAAGGAAGTATCCTGTTTGTGTGATGTGCTTTGTTGGAAGATTGGCATCGAGCAACTCCCTGTTGCTTGTGCTGGAGCCGCTCCCTAGCCAGTTTTAATGGTTGGGTATATATTACACCCTGACATTGATTTGGCATGATTTTGGTACCTGGGACACAGTCTCAAGCTCCTGGTAAGACCTAGTAAGGAGGGTCGAGTCTGGGAACGGATGGGTATTGGTGCCTTCAGGCAGCCCCCAGTGGCTCAGATTGAGGCCTTCTCTGGCAGTTTAATTCTGTTTGGTGCTTGTTGGTCTGGTGTCAGTGGTGAGGATATTCCTGTTTCATGTCCTTTCTCTGCGAAAGAGGACAGCTAGCTGCAGCCTTGGCTATTCTTGCATCCATCTTCTGACAAATCTCTCTGGTGTGTCTCCGAAGCTTCTGGAAACGCATAACCTCCTGCCAAAGTGAAGGGTGGAGGAGGAGACAGCTTCACAGGAAGCTGCTTTGGGAGGAGGAGCCACATGATTAAAGCTTGGCGCACAGACAGAGAGAGAATAGAGTTGGCCTCCTTCC